ACACTGGGACTGAGGTTACCAAGGAGAAGAAGAAATGCTGATCCAGCAGCACTGTTTCTATGAGAACAGCAGTACTAATGGGGAACAAGTGACTCTCTGGTGTCTCTGTCCGACAGCTTCACAAAAGAGGCATATAAAAATACCAGTGGAGCTCAGTAAGCGGGGGATTTCATGGCAGAGCCACGGAGGAAGTCTTTCTTTAATCAGACAGCAACCTTTAACAGAACAACGGTTTGTCACTAACAAAAATGAACAAGTGTTTCACTACACTCACATGGACAACATGTTTTTTCTTAGCTTGTTCCGGGACTATCATCCAACCGTTTACATACCTAAACCATTCTCATTAACAGAAGCTGTATCCGACTCGGTCATCCCATCCATAAGAACAGCATCCTCATCGGTCCTTCGCCGGCGTGACCTCCGACGACGGTTACTACTGTGGTGAGATTCACTAGCATCGGTGTCCACAGTCTGGTCTGACTCTGTGTTATCGAGCAAGCTGTAAGGGTTGCTGTCCGGATCTTTAAGCACTAAACAAACAAAAAGTTTCCACCTAAGATAAATGTAGTCACGTACAATTTAATTTCCAGGCTGACTTAGATCTGTGTTTCGAGTTTCAAAGTATAAAGCGACCTTATGGAAGGGCTCAACACACAGAACTACACTATTTGAGATTTCATACCGGTCCCTCCCCGACCCCAACGCCTCAGTCAGTATTCTGAGGCACCACGACAGGCACTTTTATGATTTCATCACAAAGATTTCCTAGGTGGCATTTAGGGAACTTTTACTCAAAACTGCTAAATGTGGGAAAATACACCTTTCTCTTTACAGCAGCGTGGTGCTTTTGACACTACTGAAGTGTTAGGAATTAGCAGTCGATTTCTGGTAAGACACAAGAGAATTCCCATCCTGTGATTCCTTCCCTCATTCCGTATCTAAACGCAAGCTTGACTCAGAAGGCGGCCACAGGTAATGTGCCAAAGATTTATATACGTTGATAATATCATCATTATGCATGTGTAGTAGAGGAAGAAAGTGGAATGAATAAAATGAATAAAAGTCTAACAACATAGTGTATGGTAAGAAGCTATCACACAACTCTCACTGAAATCCCAGTGCATTAAGATGTAAACGTAAAAATGGAGGATTTTAAAACAGTAAGAGGTTGTAAAGAAAATTTCCAGGAACAAAAACTAAATTCGAAATACATTTGAAACACAGTACCAGAACTAATGGAGGACTTGCCACCACGAGGTCCACCACGCCCACGACCTCCAGATACGCTACGTCCTCGTCCTCCAGGACGTCGTCTATTGTCACGCTGATGTCTGCTTTCTCTGTCATCCTCTCCTGCCAAGGACCAGTCACTAAGTTCATCTTTTCTCTCAGATTCTGTTTCAGAGGGATTAGAGAGCTCAGAGTTTGTACCTTGTACAAGAGGGGAAAAAAAAAAATTGGAAATGAATATGAAATTTGGGATTGTTTTCTGGTTTCAGATTCTCACAGAACTCTTCCAACCAGCACAGCTGGTTATATAGACATATGGGTTTTATATATATATTATAAATACAGAAATTAAGTATATACTTATATATGCTTTTTATACTTTTATATATACTCACATACAAAAATACATGCACATATAAAACAGAGCATGAATTACCTAAGTTTCTAAGGTTCTCAACCTAAGTGTGTAATAACATGAGAAATAAGGGCTCGGAGATTACCAGAACCGTAATCTATGTACACGGATAAATCGAGGATTAAACAGCATTTCCTCTCTTTGTGTGTACACTGCAGGCATTTGGTGCAGTTTCTAGGCAACTTCTCTGAAATTCCCAAGGACAACTTTACAGCTGATGGCTGTTGCTAAGCAACCTCTTCTGGCTGTTTTACTGCTGCCCGAACAATTTAACTGTTTATATTAAATAGCAACCATAATATCCCTCCATCTCAGAGCCAACCAAACCCACACAGCTTTTTACTACTAAAAAATTCAACACCTACTATTTATTTCAAACATCCAGGAACCCTCCCTGCCAACCATTCTGCAATAGAGAGATTTAGACCCACATGGCTCTGACATGCAATTCACGCCATTTTGGGGGAGGGAGTTTTCCAAATGAAAGTCTGCGGGTGTATAAACAAACCGAACAATTTCCATTGCAGGTTAGTCAAACAATTCATTGGGAAATAGTAAGAAACAAAGTTACAAATATTAGCCTGACCAACACAGCACGATCCTGGAAGGTACAGTCAGCGAGAGGCTGAAATAGTAAGAAACAAAGTTACAAATATTAGCTTTATCATCAGAATCAGCCTGACCAACACGGCACGATCCTGGAAGGTACAGTCAGTGAGAGGCTAAAATCCCCAAGAACCTGTCTGATTTTGTAACAGAAGTGAGCTACGTGTAGATGAAGAGTAATTTACTGTACTGAATAAACAGATTCTTTCTTTTTTTTTTTTTCCTGTTTACAGGAGCACCTACATTCCTTTGTGGAATATGTCTATATTAAACGCAGACTGTCTCCACCTGGGGAGCTACTGAATGAGAAGGGGGATGTGCACACCTCTAGGGAACTGCGTAGCAGTTCCTTGTTAATTTAAAAATACATCAGAACATCTCACTACATCTTAAAGAAATCCAGGTAGTTCCTGACCAAATTAAAAAAACCAAAAGCCATAAAACCCACACATCAGGATTTTGTGCTGTCTCCATCTTAAATTATTTTGCTTTACTCTTCAAAAACGCATTTGTGATCATGGCCATGATCACAGACAAGCGTTTCTTCTCCTCCTCAGTCAAAGCAGATAATGCTGCTTCTGTTTGGGTTTTTTTTTTTCCCCCCCCCACTTGTGTCTCCTGAAGGGTATCTGTAGCTCCTTCCCTTTCCCAGCTTTATGTAACTACTACTGTTAAAGGACAAGGTCTTAGCAGAGTTCAGTTTGCTCATTTTTTCAATTTAAAACTTAACTTCAACAAAAATGTAGATCTAATCGGTGTTTTGAGCTATGTCAGAAATAAAATGGCAGTTCTACACTTTCAACCCTATCTTCACTCAACTATGCTGAACCCAAAAAAACTGTACAGAGAGTTACGGATTCAAAGTATACTGAGGACTCGCCCCATAGGTGCTCAAGAAAACTCACCGTAGCCAGACGTGTAATTGGGGCCTCTGCGGCCTCTCCCTCTTCCGCTGTAGGATCTGGAACCTTGCACGGAGGAGAGGGTGCTCTCATCAGTTGTATAACCCTTCTCTTTTTCAGGAACTCTAGCGGAAGAAGGTCTGAAACCCATACCAATCTGACGCAACTGTTCATCGATCTGGAGCCTTTCCAGTCTTAGTTGTTCCACCTCCTACGTAAAAGGAAACAAAAAAGGTTACCGATAAAGAAATGTTCTTTCCCCTCACAAAATACCATCGTCCATCCAGTCATCTTAAAAACTACCATTCCTGCAGGAGGGTTAGCACCACCTTGAAGGTGACTGGAAATAACAATTCAGCTCTGAGTTCTGCAATCTCCCGAGTTCTGGAAGAAATCTAAAACCTTTCTCTTAAATCACCATGCTGAAAGACTATTTTTAAGACTATTATTACCTTTCTTAACGACACTTCACCACACGTTTTCTAGTAAAATTTAAAAAAAGCAAACTGACAAAGTAACACGATTCCAATTCATTCATTATTTTTGTTAAGTCAACACCACAACTCCATACAAAGCCAACTAATTGGAACGGATAATTGTTCTAATACTACATAGTACAAGCGTGTTACTATTAGAAACTCCATCCTACCCCAAAAAGCATTAACCTCAGAACACTAACACAGACAAAAAAGTGTATTACTTCTCCAACGCCACCTAGAACAGTGTTCCTTACAGCCCGATCTTCTCAACACCAGCAACACTAAGCAACCGTGACAACGTATTTAAAGGCCTACATAACACCTATGGGCAAGGGGTGGGTTCAAGGCACCAAACCTTAAATCCTGATACGCAGAGGAACAGTTTATCAACTGCAAACACAACCAAAGGTGTTGCTCAGAAATTCTGTTACTTCAACCAAAGTTTCCTGTACAGATCCTTCCTTCTGAAATGCACTTACCTTCAGATAGGCGATGTGGTACTCTAAAAGAACTTGGACGTTTCCAATGCTTTCTTTAGTGCCAACAAACACGAACGGTACCATTCCCTATAGAAACAAAATGTCAACTCTTAATTTTCAGGAAGAACATTATCACCAAACCAATGCTTTCTGTTTAAGTTATAACAAAATCTGTTTAAATTACAAAAGTCAGCTAAACAAGCAAAGGTAGTAACTGAATCTTGGGCTGCAAAGATGCAGCAGACATAGCTCATACTGGGGTGAGGGTAGGGGCTTAAGTTAAGGACTCAAGACCACCCAGCTTTCCCAACAGCCTACTCTGGCAGTTGAGGTAACCTGACATACAGGGTTCACGCTGCCCCCCCTCTCCCCCAGCAAAACTGCTGTGTGTTTCTATCACAGCAGGTGTGTAGAAGCATCCATAGTTCATCAAGGAGTGTCCAGTGTTTAAGTAAACCAACTTTACAAGATGAGGCACCTTTAGAAGACTTTGTCTTATGTTCTCACATATTTTAAATATGTGAACATTATTAACACTATCAATCCCAAATTAATCATGCAGCTAAAGTACATAAGGGAAAGATTTTTTTTTTTTTTTTTTTTTTTTTTAAAAAAAGGGGGGTGTCTTGCTTCAGCAGCAAAAACCTTTTTTTGAATTGTTTCATGTAAAGTTTACTGCAGGATGCCAGGCTGAAAAACCCTAAAAAATTGCTCTTTCTATACACACAGAAGATTTCTAAAACCGGCTTTGTTCAATATCGACAAGCGTCTGTCCTAGAAAACACCCAAATCACAGACACCCTGCTTTTGTAACATGGACATCACCACTGTTACAGCTGGCCATGAAAAAAGGGACGCAGAGGCCATGAAGGCTGCATTTATAAACGGCATTAATAACGCGGAGATGAAACGACGATCCCATCCCGATGCAGGAATCCTCACTTTCCTACACATTCTTTGTGAAAAGATTCAACATGACTGGTTTTGAAAATAAAATCTTCATCATAGGAAGAAAGAATAAAGTACTTACATCTTCACGGGGCAGTTTATTCTCATTATCCCCTTCAATTCTCACCCTGACGACTCCAGACTTGTCTACAATCTCCTGAATCACTTTTCCATTTTTTCCAATAACTTTTCCTTCAGAGGGCAAGAATGGTTAATTTTGCACCCGTGCGCAAAACACTTTAACAGGTTTCTTCACATTTTAAGTTATGTACAACATAATCGTAACAGCCACCTGACTCTCCTTTACCATTCACTTTGTTTCAAAGTTCTCTTACTTTACACAGGTATAAAAAAAACCCCAAAGAAAAGCCCACACGGTGCTAGAAGAAAGCGGTGAAAACTTCCAAAATTAAACTCTCTCTCTATATATATATGCATAGAACGAGTATTGGTGAAGATCACCACTACACACAAATTTCAAATAGAACCCAAGTAAAAGCACAAAAGTTTTGCAAATGCCTATTATAAAATTTATTCAATCTTTCCTGACATTTTGACAGGTATATTCAATATACGTTTGTTGGGAGCCTCTTAAAAAAAAGTAAAAAACTATGTAACTGTTTTCTGAAAATTAATTTTGCCTTTACAACAAACAAGTGCTATCCATACTACCTGTAGAATACTTATTTTGAGATTGCGTGTGGGTTCTAACCAAGAGGTTCTTCAGAACTTGCATGTTTAAATCTCAGAGTGACTCCTTTGCTCCCTTACTATAAGATTTTAGCTCTTCCTTAAAGTAAAGTTACACAGAAACATCTCTCCATCTCGGATTGATTATCTGGCTCTTAAAAACATAAATGTTTAAATTATGTGTAAAGGAAGGTAAAACCTCTGAAAAAAGGGTATAACAGCCAAAAGTGTGTGACAGAAAACTCCATAAAGAACATCCTTTACAGCAGGTATCAACACGATGCCAAATGAAGTGCAAAAAGCATTAAAAACTGTTCCTTCCCTCAACAGCTCAAGGAGTGCTGGGTGGGGTTTCCTTTACCTTTCTGTCTTAAACCACCATGCTACAGCTCATCACTCAGCATGCCTACAATTTCATTTTGCACAGTGATCCTGTTACTACAAAAATAAACCACGCTCATTATGCTGTTAAACATTTTCCTATGGATAATGGTTAGCCAGTATTTGGGAGAAAGCCCTCAGTCCCACGGAGCTTCAGTAGCTGAAACTGGCAATTCGGCAGATGGCCCTCTTCTCTCTTGGTACGGAAAGAAACGTATAGGGCAGAGCGCGGTACCTTCAGTCTGAGTCATTAATGATCACTACGCTTCTTTTAACTTGGGTGTCTTCATCAGGTATAGCTAAATGTATGTCTGCTTACATATATCACCACAGGAGATTTGAGCAAGGTGCCTGCCTTCGTCACGCACTGGTACTAGGGTTGTTTAAGAGGGGCATTCTCCGTTAAATGCATTGCCATGACTAGTGCCACAATTCCTACGTGGGTATGTTCACATGAGGTAGAATGCTACCCAAAATCCCCCAAAACCTCAGTTTGTAAAACATTAGATTTAGTCAAGTTCCTTGCTTCAACTGGTTTGCTGATTGAGATAACAGAAACAAATGTGCCTGCGTACAAACTAACAATTGATTTGCTGAATGTTAAAACAAGCTTTAATGTTTGGTAGATGAAAGAATCATGTTGCATCAGATACATACTTTGTAGAGGTCCTATTAGAAAAAAAAGCAACAAAACGCTACACCCTAACTTGCTCAAGTTATAAAACCTGGAAATTCTGATTTTTAGGAGTTTGCACATGAATTATTTAAATGATGTAGTCTATAATATGCAAGCTCTAAGCCCAAAACCATAGGAGGTTAAAGGACAGCTTTTTATTTCTGCTTCGGATAATCCAAACTGCTGTTGAATCAGGACTGACACCTCCACTCCTCATACTCCCTTCTTGTCTGCATCGCCTGTGAGCTGGCAGCACGGGGCAGGAGGCTGCCAGACTCTGAGAGCACAACGGGCAGGCCAAGAGGAGCAGAATGAGGGGAATGGGAAAAGCATCCTGTGAAGACTGGTCGAGGGAATGGCATGTTCCTCTCGAAGGGCAATGGAAATTAACCCCACCTTTAGGCAGCTTATGAGACAGAAGCTACCATGATGTGCATTCACAAGTTTTGGGAAGCTACAGCTTCATGAACTGAAACATGGAAGATGCCCGTTTCTAGACCCGAGGAGGCAGCTGACGAGCACTGCTGGTCCATCCACAGCTCAACACCGTCCAGCCACCACCTCTACCAAATCTGAACTCAGGAGAGGACAAGGACACAAGAATTGTGTCATTCTTGCAACTCAGCTGTAGTACTTCCATATTAAATTTTGGAATTTAGTTTTAGCACTTTTAAGTAGTCAATTTAGCAAGCCTTTTTTTTTTTTTTTCTAGAATCTGAACTTCAAGTATTACCATTGAATTAGATTGTACAAGTCTCTAATCAAACCATTTTAAGTGTTAAAATCCTGACAAAGTATTATTCAACAATAATATATGTAATTTCTTGTTAATTCCCTGATGCATGTAGTTTTAAAAGATTAATCACTTTCTACTTAAATAGAGAAATCAAATATCATACTGGCAGCTAAAGCATCTTTGCAGAGTCATGCTGATTAGGCTCCCTTTCCCCAAGTTTTAGCAGTATTACATACCAACAAGATTTCTGGGAACTTGAATAAAATCCTCCACAAATTCCAAGTAACTTCTAGCCTTCTTTACTGCATCAGCAGTCTGGAAATGAATTTTTAAAAAATTAGTTTATTTGTGAATATAACGTGTTAATAATAAAACCTTACAGCAACAGCTGCAAGTCTTCCAAGCATCAAACTTATTTTCAAAAACAGAGGAACAGAGACAAGACTGATCTAGTTTTGAACTAAATGTGAAAGAAATAATTGAGTAAAATGCCCAGAAACAAAATTCATCAGCAAAGCAAAAAATCAGTAATGAATAAAACAACTTTTTCCATGCTATTTTAAGACATTTTAAAATATTATCTGCAACTTATCACAAGTGAACCCCAGACATAAAATATCTTACAGAACAGGTTGCCCAGAGAGGTAGTGGAGGCCCCATCCCTGGGAACATTCAAGGCCAGGTTGGATGGGGCTCTGAGCAACCTGATCTAGTTAGCAGTGTCCCTGCTTACTGCAGGGGGGTTGGACTAGATGACCACTAGTGGTCCCTTCCAACCCTAAACATTCTATGATTCTATGATTCTACTGATATATCTTGAAGCACTTTTTCGTAGATAGTAATTGGGAAAAAACAGCTAATTATATTATTTTTCTCCAAAATCAAGACATAATTTTAAAATCTAAAATGTTTTTATAAAAAAAAAATCAATATAACAATTATCACAAAGATTCTGTACACAAAAGAAATAAACTCGTAAGAGGTCCTACCAGCATTCAGGAACTTCAGCTTACAAGAATGCTATGTTAAAATGAACTCTGGGTTGTGTATGCCATTTCACCCCACTTCGCAGCGTGTGAGTAGTTACATGGCTGTGATTAGATGGGCAAGCCACAAAGCTTTAGTTTAATCTCTGCGTTTTCCTCTTTGGAAGGAACTCCAAACCGCTTTGGAAGCATCCAGTTTTTCTTTCCACAGGAACTGTGCTACCATCGATACTGTCGGCAATATAAATTTGATTTTTCGATTTTTAACACCATTTTTAACGTGTAATACGCTATTACATTTCCCAGAGGACTACATATGGAAAAAAATGGGGAAGGAGAAAATGAATTTTAGACTTGTTTGTCTCTTGACAGTATCTACAGATTGTGTCACCTGGTAACGACAAGACATGTCTAAGGTTGAAGGGCAATCTCTCTGCAGAACTTTATAGGCTCACTAAGCAGGGACTGGCTTTACAACCTTATCCATAAAAGAGGAGTACTGGTCTTTCAGAACAGCCTAAATAAAACAGCCATTAGAAGCTCTCTATGAAGTTTCTGTTCTCTTGCTCAGTACTCAAGAGAATGGAAAGAAAACAACAAAATCAGTCTCAGAACCTTTGCTGTAACAGATAAATCCATTTTGCATGCAAGTCTTGATACCAAGCACTGTTTGTGAATACACATGACCAAGCCTGTTCAGAACTGGCTACAGGTAACAAGTTTTCCATTTTCTCTACCAAAATTCTGTTTCTCTCCCATCTTAAGCTTGACAGGAAACTAAGCCTGAATAACAGGCAGGGTCAGACAAGCTCTGTCCCGGAACCGCAGGCACGTCACACTATGCGACCTGAGCTCTGCAGCGCCCGCTGAAACGGCTTCAAATTATCAACAGCAGAAGTGTAGAATTAAGGAGCAAGTATCAGCATCTAGTCAGTCATGACAGCTTTTGAGCAGTTTCTGTTTTACACTAATGCCTCAGCCCTTTCATCAGTCATTTTTTAGGCAACACATGAAATAAGAGTACCACCAGCTCCTCCTCCATCTTTCAATCAAGTTGGGGAAGTCCTAGAAGTACAAAAATTTATAAACCTTACTTCTGGCAGAGGTCAAAATGATAGCAAAAGAAGCATGGGCAAATTGGATTTCAAGATAACGAAACAAGCAGTAAGGCTTCATCTGGAAAACAGATGAACAGGGAGTCGGAGGGAGCAGGGGCTGTGCTGCATATCCAAAGCAACATGATACAAACTTCAACACATGTGAGCAATTTTTCACCTTCAATGAACCCTACAAATAGCACACAATTAACTAAAGAGCTCACAACGTCCTGCCTCAGAGGTATGTTAATCAATTCTTTCCCAAATAAAGATGATTTATCAATTCTTTCCCAAATAAAGATGATTTATCAATTCTTTCCCAAATAAAGATGATTTATCAATTCTTTCCCAAATAAAGATGATTTATCAATTCTTTCCCAAATAAAGATGAGGGAACAGCAACTGCTTTCGCAGAAGCAGCATCAGGATGAGAAAAACTGTCAGTAACTGGACATCTCCAGCGCACCCATACGCGTGTCTAACACCGTGCCACAAGCACTCACAATTTTTGTGCACGTACCCCCTGTATGAGTCATTCGCACCCCAACACGAGCTACCACACAAACCAGACGTGGACACTGTCTTCTCAGTTCCTTGCAGTCAGCAATTCAGGAAAGGAAAAGAATAATAATTTCCCTCTCTCTAAAAATCAGCGAATACATAAGTTAAAGACCTCGAATAACTCCATTACTAGCAACTACCCTTCTAACTCTGAGTGACAGTCTACGTGTCCACTCATGCTTTGGTTACTTCACCTAGTAGCCCATACAATCAAGACACATCCAGGTTATCTGAAGAGTCTTTAACAGAAAGATTAAATGCAGGGTATTTTTCTAAACTCAGCATTACGCCTTTTGCAGCAGGATCTTTCTAAATGAAATGAGAGCATCAAACAAGAACTGATAGGGGTGCAGATTTTGGGGACGATGTTCTGTAACAGTCGCTAACGTAGATCTAGTGGCTGCACCCTGGTGGAGTGCACTCCCGCTACAAATGGTGGATCTGTCTCAGGAGTCTCACACCAGTTTCTGACACAAGGATTTGAAAGTCTCTCCAACGTCCTTGTAGCTCTTTTAGACCTTCCCTAACAGAAGAAAACCCCAAACTACCTCTGGGAATCATTTGAAAAGCCTTATCCCATGCAGATAAAGATGAAGCCCACCTAAGTCATGGCAGGAAAGAATGCTTATGCCATTGTGAGACAAGTCTTTTTTCAAGAAATAAAATAAAAGGCATATTAGTCTCCTAGTTTAAATGGAACCGAGTTCATGAAAGCACCAAAGGGAAAACAAGAAGTAACAGTCTTCTGAAACAGCCGGGATAGGTAGGACCTTGCTATCCTTCTATCCAAAGGAACAGTTATACAGTTAAGCATCTTAAAAAACCAAAGGTGCATGAGGGAAGAAGCTCCAGTGTTAAGAACTGCACAACAATTGAATGCAATTCAATTTTGCCAGTAACGAAGGTCTAAGAGAAGCTTTTCTGTTTCTGGTAAGGCTCTCCTCTCCTAGGGAAGCACAAGATTTCAAACATAGGGACAGCCACTCACTGTCCAAGCTCTGAAGTTTACAGTACCGTGGTCTCTGTAACAGGTATCACAGGCAGAAGAGGAAGGCTCTTGGAATCAAAGTGGTCTTGACCAGACAAGGAAAAGAGCGTGAACAGGACCCCATACAGTTTAGCTCCCTTCTAATCATATAAATTTTCAAGAATATTGGAAAGCCATCTCCCCATTCCTTCCCTCAAAGCTTCTGACCCCGAACACCACTGAACTTTTACGCGTACGCACAGCGTTAGCTATGGGATACTCTCAGCCCCCAACTACAGCGTCAAGGACACTGGATCACTACTCACACACATCTCAGCCTAAAATTGGCTGCCCCTGTATTCACAGCCATTAGGGCCTGGCTGCTTGCCAGCTTCAGCTGAAGGAAGGCAGAAAGAGTAGACAAGTATACCTAGATGCCGAAACCCTCGTCACGTGGACTATTTAGGTTGCCTGGCTTTTTTAGAAGCAGCTATCACTCCTAGGAAGGACAAGGCTGAATGTGTCTAAAGGCATTTTTATTTAGGGGGCATCTGGTATTTATAATTGTTGCCGTGCACTACTCTAAGAGGCTGGTGACAGTCGTAACCTTTCCAGAAGTTTCAGCATCACATCATTCATGTTAAAGAGATCGAAACTGGAATACACTAGACATTCTGCTGCATTTAAACTCGCCCTATTCTTCACAAAATGCAAGATGTGATTTACTGGTAGTACTAAGCCAAAGAAGGATCTGTTGCCACCCTGATACCCTGGTAGTGTTTAAGGTTTCCAAAAAATAGGATGCAGAACTTCAGAGATACTGAAGAGTACATAAGTTCACCCTCCCCTCAGCAACATCAACTTCATCTGACCCTTGGATCACAACCAGGTTCTACTCCTGACATGCATGGAGCATAGTTCAAGATCACAGATTCCTGAAACGGTAGACAACCAAGGATTTCTAGAATTGTTAACACCACAGACTCATATGTTAGCAGCACCTGTAGAGAGTTGGTAACATGGGATAAAAACCCTAAAAAAGTGTTCTGACAGGGCCCTGGTGACAGTGGCATCTTTGTCACTACTCTTCTGCCTCCTGAATGGATCACTGTTTTGGTCCAAAGACCAGCTACATTTCAAGGCACTTGTAAGATTTAAAGTACATCAATTAGAGAGTCACACAAACGGAATTAACTTGGAGCAAACCAGCATTATTTTACCAAATCCAGCATTAAACTGCCAAAATAGAAGGGCTGGAAGCAGCAGATATATGCTTTAACACATTTGGCTGGGTCAGAGGAGCAGACACCACACAGCAAAACACACGTGAACTAGAAAGGGGGAGAAGGAGAACCGGCAAGAACAGCATATACAGTCTTAAGGAAAAAAAAAAAAAAAGAATCTGTGATCAAGTGAAATAGCAGCAAATGATTCTTCTCTCAGGTTGACCAAGATGTACAGTGCAGTTACAGAATCTGTGCATCAGCACATGGAGTCATTAGGACAGAACACTTCTTAGGGACGCCACCACTGCAATGAAGCCTCCTATTTCAAATACAGGTAGTACGAGCTGCTGTAGTGTGAACAGGCATAGAGACACTCGGGTGACTACTCGGCTATTTCCAGTTCCTAATTCTGGGTACAGCTCTCGCCACTCTAAAAGCAGATACAGAGTGAAATGCTCATCAGATTCATACAAAGTTTCCCCCTTACCTCTCCGTAGATTCTGAAAGTACCAGTATCCTCCTCGAGTTCAATGGCAGTAACTCCTGGAACCTTTCTGGCTTGTTGTATGTTACTCCCATGTGTTCCTATAGCAAGTCCCATTAAATCTTCTCTGACTACAAATTCCTCATGAAATGCTGCAGCAAGCTGCTTTGTGCACTGAAGGGAAAACAAAGTAAGACTCAGCCACATGCACTCTATGTAACGTACAGTTATGTGCTCGGTTTCAAGCAGTGAGAATTACAAGCTATGGCTTACTTCTAAGTGTTTTGTAGCTTCTTCGTTTCTTGACATAAGCATAAGTTTGGTACGAATGCTGCGCAAATGCATGTCACTGAGTATATTCACTCTCTTCACTGTTGCTTCACTGGCAGACTACAAAAGAGAAAGAACATGAAGTTTCATTTTTTAAGCAGATCCACATTTAAAGGATAAATCATGAACCTATTTAAACTACATCACAAACGTGATCTAAATTGCTAGTACTTACATGGACATTATTCTTCCTCAAAACAAAGTGTGAGAAATCAAGCACCACCTCTGCAAGCCAACAATTTTCTGTTCTCACTCACAGCATATTTTACACTAAAGATTTTGGTGCTGGATATACATGGTAACGCTTTCCCCATGATGTTCCCCAGACAAACAAATTACGTATCATTCTACCACGTACATACTTGTCACTCACTGTCTGAATGGCAGAGCTAAGGAAATAAGCAAGGAAAACACAATTCTGGAGAGTGAGGTTCAAGTGGATAATATTAAGTGAACAGAACTGTGGAGAGAAACTAATGCTGGGAAAAGTCTTCGTAATAAAAGAACTGCGCAGAAGAACCTGAGTGAACAATTCCTTGGTGGCTACGCTGAACCGTGCAGTTCTTCACATGGAAACCCAGCTGTAGGTCAAAGCGCGGTGTAACAGGGTACAGGGGGAAATGTACTGCTCCAGAGCAGAGCAAGCCAGCGTTAGCTTTGAGCTGTCTGTGCAAAGCAGTGAAACAGCACCCAGTTGTGGATGATGAAAATTGTAAAAACAATGAGACTGAAAGCTGCTCCTAAATTTAGGCTGTATGCAGTACTTGTATAGCCCCTCCTAAAGGCCCACCTCCAAAGATTAAATTTAAACACATCTACTCATACTAAATCTCTCACAGTCTACACAGCTTGACAGGTTAAACTATTTTCCACACAAATATACAGCTGGCTATATATTTCCCATAGATAATATACTGAAAATTCAAGCAACATTTGCGTAGAAATAATTACTTACCAGTATTATTAGTTGAGCAGTTTCAGCATGATAGAAAATTCGACATGCTCCCACAGCTTTCTTGAAATCTTTATGTGCATTTTCATTAGCACACCTAAGGGACAAAACGATTGTTACTTCAACAAGCTGCATCGAAACGGAACATGTAGTACCACAATCAGAACCAAGAATGTTTCAGAGTAATTTATGGCAAAGACTGCTCAGAAAAGGGAAGATTCCCATTCTCCTTAACATTGTTCTCCAGAGTTTACTTCTCTGTGGACTGGTTGCCACCGTGGTTATTTGGCAAGTCTCAGTACCAGAGGCCCACTGCAAGTGCATCACCTGTACAAGCCTAAAGCAAGACCTGAAGCTCCCATCTCGGGATTTCTCTTTTGTCCCCACCCCAAAAGCTTAGTGGGGATCCCAGTCAGTAGTTTCTAAACCAGCCACTGCAGCCATAGCCACCCTTAGGGCTCCTCATGCACCTGTAAACTAGCCTCTAAAACATAAGCCAAGTGGGGTTTTCCCCCCCTCAAATACAGTAAATGCCTTATTAAAGCACACAGAGCTACTCACGCATCTCTCAGATCTTCAGGAACATCCACTGTGCACTTGAAAAAGGTGTTCTTTTTGACAGTTTTGTTTTGATTCACAGGTCGGAGTCGTTCATAAGTGACAATTTCATTGTAAGTGGCATCACAAGCAGCATATTCAATGACATAAAACTATGGAAGAATATTTTTTTAAATGGTAACTTCAGTAAGGAACAACAAAGACACAGTAACATTACCAAGCATCACCAAGAAAGTACAAAATATGAATATATAGACTAAAACATAAATCTGAGTTGATATAATGCTACAATTCCACACAAATGAGCCTGGACATATTTCAGTACCCATCTGATACCTTAGTGAAGTCACAGCACCATATCAGCATAATTTCAGTTCCCCCTAAAGGTATCTTTGATTGATTTTTCTCATGCCCACCCCCCTACAAATACCTACTTTAGTCCAGTCCAAGTTCCAAAATCAAAAATGTTAACTGGAGCCCTAATTCTAAAAAAAAAAAAAAACAAAAACAAAAAACAAAAAACACCACAAAACCCAAAACCTAGTAGAGAGGCCAATTCAACTCATTCCTCATAGAGGTATCTGCTCTGCAACACTTCAAGGTGGTGGCAAATGCACTGATTCAGTGGGCAAACTACCTGTGAATCATGCAAGATCAAAAGGAAAAATAAAAATTCAATCTTTTGGATACACACTACCCAAATTTAGGAAGGCGAGAGAACCAAGAACAGCTACCAGTAATCTACTCCTACACTTCCACCCAACACGTGCGGGTATAAAGCAGCTTGTGTGCACAGTATCCCCAAAGCCTGGCTCTGTGCTGGGGATGCAGCCTTCTCCCACCCTCCCTTCCACCTGTATGCAGCTTAGGCATGCTGCAATACTTTCTCCCCTTCCTCCCTCAAAACTGCTATCTGGTTTTGTCAAGACACAAAATTTACTCAAGTATCAGGAAAAAGTAAATTGCTAAGGTCGCAATATACTTTTCCACATGCTGTTTTCCAATTTCAAGTTTTCAAGTTTAGCCCAGGTATCATCCTAATCACATAAAGCTGCTTTGAAACATATCAAAAAACAAGTTATGTAATAATAACTCAAAATGAATAATGGACAGACAACTAAATTTAAGAGAACTAACACTACATGCTTTAAAAAAAATTAACTCCTACAGTTAAAGATAGTTCTGGTTATCAGAACAATCACAACGCTAACTATCATTAGATACACGGGTTGGTTATGAACTTCACATTTACTTTGAGGAAAAAATTTGAATATGGAACCATGTTAAAGACTGTACAAAAAAGCCAAAACTGAACTGACTTCTTTTTGGGAGACAATTCCATAAAATAACTAATTTGACAATGCTGTATAAAGACACCAGCCATCCGAGGACGAAAAAATAATTTTCCCTGTCAAAAATACCAGAAAATTAAGAATTGGATAAAACTGAATTTAAATTCAGAATTAAAAATCTTTCTTTTACAACTTTTTTCTTTAAAATAAGCAGGATAGCAAGATAACCAACAGCAAAATTCCAAATTTCTGTGACATAAAGAGATTAGCCCCAAATGACAAACTATAATTTAAATCAGTTTGTCTCCTTTTCTCTTGTTTTCTTAACAAGCTGTTCATCCCCAAGGATCAAGACACAGAATTTTCCTTTGAAAACTGTTTACCCCCACCCTGCCCTTACAGAGGGCAAGAGCAGTTACTATTTGTTGACAGTTTTTAAACACCTCCAAAAACTGGACACTTTCTTCCTCAACCCCATTTCCTTTGGTTTTAGAAACCCAATACAACAGAAGCATCAAAACACAGGGCCCTTCCTACTATGAAGTTAAATTCTCTTGCTGTCATTCCACAAAATAAACCTTTAATGGGGCTGTATCAGAGACTGCCATAGCTCTATGCGCTTAAGTGGCTGAATCTACAAGTTAGTTTGCAGCTGCACCTAACAGTCGACAGCAAAATACAAACTTGACATTTGTAAAAGCAACCCAGCCAGCGTCCTTCCACTGCACTCAGCAGAAATGCATACACCAAAAAGAACCCACAGCAACACACATCGATGGCTACAGCGTGCTTAATTAATTAATGGAGTTTAACCAGACTTTAGCCTCAGGTGAAGAGTATCGCTTTACTTAACTTCTAGTGTCACGTTAAATTCACAAAGTAGGTCTGTTAGAAGTCCTGTTCTTATGCGGGCATACAGTCCTCCCAGCAATTAAACTACTAATAATGGAAGGGACTTGCTCAGCTACAAAACCACAACCTGCAGCTGTGTAATGCAGCACAGGTCATTCCAAAGTGATCTCAGCTTGTAACTTTGCTTTGCCATGTTTTTGTATTTGTAGTACTTTATTCAGAGTTTTTCCATCAGAAAGACCTTTCATATTTACTATATTTAACATAACAGCATGAAATCAGTAGGTTTTAAAATCCTTTACCTCTCCTTTCATCATTCGAACTTTTGCCAGCCACCAACCACAAGGTTCTTGGTCATTTGCTCTAGAATAAACCTGAAAATGAAAGTGGTAAGAAACACTGAAAGCACATACGGACGTAACTCACTTGCCTGCACGTACAATGAAGAAAGAACATACCAGCTTTTCCAATTTTCATTAAAATGGAACAGTATTCTACACAAAAGTAATTTGTGTATAAATCATCCAGGCACGTGCTTCTTGCACAAATTTTTATTATTTTGCACTACAAGGATTGTGAACAGATTTCCTTTGCATACATTACTGACAATTCCATAGAAATTTCTAGAGGAAGATAAAACCTTGACTCAACGCTTATTCAGGGGCAATTCCTCACTAAATTCAAACACTGTGTTCATGCTGAAAGCTCACACGTAGAAGTAACTCCACAGTTCAGCTTTTTGTTTTGTCCTTGGCTTACTTGATATACCCAGGACTACTGAAACGAACGAGTCATCCTATGACCGCATCTTCCACATTTAACAAACACTACCACTTTAAGGCAAGATCAGATACCCAACAAATGACTTCTGAAACTTTCAGTTTCCTCACCCTCTTTAAGTTTCATTTACTCCTTACACACTTCTGACAGGCCAAAGCCATTTGCATGCAGACGAAACAAGAAATTTTGCAATAGCAAGGAGGTAGGAAATAATCCTTTACATTTAATCTCTAACAAAGCCAACAAATAGCATGTAATAATAACTTCAAATAAAATAACAGAAAAACCCAGCACCTATACTACATTGTTTCTTAGCTTACCAGCCAAAAAATATACAGGTATCCTAAAGGAACTCATTATTTTGATTTTTAAGGACAAGTGAAGTCAAAAGCAGAAGTTAAACTAAATTACTAAAGATACTACAATGAGCTGGGAACAGAACATGTGCCTTTTAAATTTCCCAGTAAATACATAATTTCTAATTAAGACTGTTTCTCTGTAGAACAGTATAATTCACACAATTTCCTATGAGATTGTGCCAGATATTTCATCTGGATTAAAACTCTTGTTATTGGAAGAGCTTTATTACATCTTCACATCAAAACATTTCCAACAGTTATATTCCAGATTAAAAAAAAAACTAAAAAAATTACCTAGTTTTGTTTTGAATTCTGAAACATTCTCAGCTATTTTAAGTTTTAGATTTTGAGAAAGTTCCATTGGTAGTTCTGTGAAAAAGCTGCAGTGCCACAGTTCCACTGAAAGCCTAATAAATCCATCACTAGAGACATGCTCCATTTTAAATCTCCACTTTGGTAATGTATTTACGATCATCATCACCGCCTTGAACAGACAATCTGTTATGTATCAGGACAGTTCGCTAGGATAAACTCACCTCCACTTCATCGCCTTCACCAATTTCTTTCTTGATATCAGGGGGTGGTGGTAATCTGACTTCATTAAAGGGTACCTGGCGCTCTGGTTGCCAGCTGGAAGTTGAAGAGACATTGCACATTATTTCTACAATTTTCCCATTGTTTTCTTAGTTTCATTTTTAGAACTCTGAATTTAGTTAAAAATCACTCTTCCCATATAATCAAGTCTCTTTCTTCATTGCTACAAAGCAAACCTTATAAGCAAAGGAACAAAATAATCCTGTCAAGACAAAAGTAGTATCTGAGAAGATATTATGACAATTTTTAAATTAACTGAAAAATGTAACTTGACTGGGTTCACTAAATGGCGTTCATAAAACCCCAGTGAAAAGATTATTAGATGACGTACTTGCATTTCTACTGTTCAAGTCCTAAAGCCTTTATACAGATGTAAAGCCTTTATCTTTCCAGTCCACCACCGGGTTCATCCATTTCTCCACCTCACACTTAACATTTCAACCACTTACCATCGATGTTTTAAGTATTCCAGGAAAATCTGCCTCTGATCATTAACCAAACCTTACATTTCTACCTACAAACTTGCTCACGCTTCCCAGTGTCTGGCAAACAGATTCAGTTCAAAACATACCTTTATATCTGCTTATCAATACCAGTTATCACTGGGCATATAGAACTAAAATTTTACCTTCTTGTTCGGAAAGGCTAGTTATTTTACCGTAGCTGGCTCTACAAAGCATTTTACTTGTAGAAGCGTGTATTTTAGGTGCATTTTATGAAGACTACTGGAGCAATTCACATCCTCTGTGTTCTCCCAGAATTCCTTTTCCCTCTGCTCCGTGAATGCCACAGAACACCCATCAGCTGCTCCTCACTCTATGTCAGAAACTCAGCTGAAGACTCTACACAGGTAGAAATAAAGCCAGGGGGAAAAACAACCCAAAAAACCTTACTAACTTAGAATATCTGAGGGACTTCGACAGGTATTGTCAAAGCACTCCGACGTCCATCATTTACGCCCATCTCAATCGAAGTTCACCATCAGGTACAGAGAGGATCCAGAACACACTTGTAACAGTAAGGATCACTGCGAGGCATTTGTTTTGCTTACTTCAATACATGCAGACAGGGCAGCCTAAGGCAGCAGAACAAGTCTCAGTGTTAAGAGCAAAGGGCACTTCTGCAGCCTTCTACGAGATGGATACATTTCTATGTTTTCTCTGAAAAGACAACTTACACTCACGTACCTCATTAATAAAGATGCGAGGTATCCATACAGTTTTGCTCTAGCCATTATTATACCCTTTATTTTTCTTTTAACTACAGTGGAACTTTGAAAAACAATAAAATCAATGAAGATTATGGATAGCTTTTGTTGAAGTTGGAAGGGATTATGGCCATAAAATGTTATTTAAATCTCATTCTATTTCTGAGAAATGGTGACAGGGGCTGACAATTCAATTGCCTTTGTTGCAACTATAATGGTCACTAAACTCAGGGTTTGGGCTTTTCCTTCCCCTCCCCGCCTTTGTGAAATTATCACTCTCACAGATGCAAAGGCAAACAGTAAGAGTTGTGGACAAAATGCATTCCTTAAACTATAGGGTATGTAAAATTTCAGTTTAGAAACAGTGTGAGCATAATAATAATAATAACTGAACAACAGGATCAAAAATGTTGCAAACTCAAATGAGCTGCTTAAAGTTCTCTTGAGAATTTCAACTGTGCCCCATAGTTAAAAAGCCTAGCAAGTGGGGGCTTACAAGGTTATAAACTGCCCAAAACAAGATGCTACGATTGAAGAGACCTTATACCTTCAATAACATCCGCATGAAGTTGCAGTAGGCTCATTTTAGTTCAGTCTCTGATCATCTAAAGGAATTCCATCCACTAAGAAGCGGATGGGCCAATGACCTCTTACTGCTATCAGCTGCAAGACGTTTTGGTATTTTTTAATAAAACAGAAAAGTGCACAGCAGGCTCAGTTCTCAGAATATGAGGAGTCAAAGTTTTGATGCCAAAAAGTCCCAAACTGGAGCATCTCACTGGTGAAATGCAAAACAAGGTGTTTCAAGAAATGACTTGTGACTGGCTACAAATTACCTACCAAGAGATCTGACACAACGGACGCCTAGTAGTCGGAAGGATTATCCCAAATACCTGGCACAAATTACAAAAAAAGGGAGGGGCTTGCTTCTTACAACAGAGAAATCCTTCTTTCAATATGGCTGCTTCAAATACCAATGGGCCTATATGAAATTGTACCTCAAGATCCAGCTTTCTGTCTTATACAGTAATAAAAGTTTCCAGTCCCAGAAGCTTCTGCATTCATTCTCTATCTCCTCACCTCCAGAAACGTCTCTTAAAATGATACCTGCCCAGAGATTAATTATTGCTATGGCCACAAAATCATCATTAACAGTCTGTGCTACTACACCAACTTTGGGAACCTTACAACAGCTGTAGATAAAAGACCGGTTAACAATAGCAGAAAACGCAAACCAACAATTTAGAGTGCCTTTAGCAGAGGAAATGTGTTTATTTCATTAGTGCTGATAGCTATCACAACAGAATGATGCATTCAGGACATGACACCCTTGCCAACTTCAGCTCTAAAGCCGTTATGAATTTAACTCAGTAAAAAGGGTAATAATTTACCAGATTTACATCACAGACTGATGACTAGAACTGCAGACACACTTCCTGGTAAGACCTATTTTTGGTCAACAAAACACTCGACATATGTTGCAGCCCATTCTTTTTGGAGCATGGCTGCTGCTGCCAGACTTTCTGTAGAACACACGGATGACATGGATCCTAAACACGAGGGATGTGTTTGCCAGCAATCAGACCCCTGCTGTGAATCACAGGCACTTCCTTTAGCTTACCTGGTTTCTGATGTGAAAGTATATGCTTTGAAGGCAAAGAGCCTCCTACCTTAAAAAAAAGTAATATGGATGTTGAATATGAAACTGAAGACTTGTCACATCTCCTCAGACCATAGCTAGGATGAAGGACTCAATTTGTTTTTTATGTTTGTCGGGTTTTGGGGCAGGGGTATGAAAACCTAGGAGATGGTAACAACTTCCGTAACCACCTCAGTAAGTGTTAGTACAAGTTATGGTTGCCACCTTATCTTCTAACTATTCTTCGTAAAAGAAGGGCTAGAAAAATGCAGGAGAGAAACAAAGACTGGACTTTGCAAGGGTAAACCCAGGGTTACTACTTTTCCCCCACCCTTGGATATTTTATACATGTGTATATACACATACACACCCTATGATTATATATTCAGGGATTATAAAATACTGTTTATAAACACACTCTTGCACACTCCCTAGCATTACCTGTATTAGCCAGCAATCTTTCTTGAAGAAAGGCTCAAAGACTAATCTACAGGTTGGTGCTGGCAGAGTTTAGTAACAATTTTCACATCAAAAGCTGACACATTTTTAGGATCTCCACCTAGCAACTGGAAGGGAAACATGAAAGAGGATGTAGCTCCCAGAGTATCTTAAATTAGTCCTGGAATCTCCCAGGTAATCCATGGTGTTATCAGTCTGAATGCTGAACAACAGGTATTCATTTGTATTTTACCATCCCATGGATTATCTTTGACTTGCCACTGCAAGTCCCTAGCAGCACTGCTGTGTTTATATATTCAGTGAAGAGGGCCTCATGGATAATTCTTTCTCCAGACTTGCACTGTTTTCCACTAAAAAACCTCCTTGGTCTTCAGACTGGATATGTATATATATTTTCTTAATAATCAAAAAGAAAAATCAATCACCATCAGGATACTTGTACCTATCTCTCTCCAGCTGAGGACACTGATTAGCATTTCTCAAATAAAAATTCTCTGTATTTCTAATCTAACAGAAGTACTTTGGTATTTTCCATCTTTTTCTGCTTTAGTTTGAGCGTATCAGGCCTCTGCCACTGATTATTATTATTTTAATCAAATTTGGCCATCATATCTATGGCCGTCACTAAAGATACAAAAAAAAATATATCTATGTAAAGGGCTGTGTTAAGTGACGAGCTGAATTCTGATACAGCGATTCAAGAAAGTAGTTCATGGAGGCTGTGAACAGAATAGTGAGTCTGTACTTCTACAACTATACCTTGCTGATGAAATCTACTTCCTCTTAACATCAAAACAACTAAACAAAACCCCACCAAAACCACAAAACCAAAATAACAACTTAATACTCAAATGATTATTTTTTTAATGGAATACTTACTTGTTTTCAAATACAACTGTGAGCGAGTCCTCATGAACATCTTTGATAAATCCCTAAAACAAAAACATTTTTGTTGTAAGAATGCATGTGAAATCAAAACAAGACAGCAATTTCAGTTCAGCCAAAGAGCAGACCACCGTTAATGCTATGGTTCCAATTTAGGAAGGTTCCAAGGCCCCATCCCACCGTTCGCATGAGGCTGCTGATATTCTTAGTTGGCTATTCTAAGAAATACATTGCACACAGATTGTTTCAAATGACTGCTCAAACCAGACCAGCACATTTGCAACTGAAAATTCACCATCAGAGTTTATTATTTTAACTGCAGGTGTGCACAACTGTTTTAGAGGAACAAAATGAGAGCGATCCAGGCCCAGGGTAATTAGTACAACTCACAAGACAACGCCAAATAGCTGCGCAGAGCACTGTTTGCTTTATAGGTGTTCATCTTAACACAAAACTGAACCCCAAACAACTGTCCTTCAGAACAGTACAACAGCCACTTTGGCTAGAATTTGGCAATACAGGCTGCCATAGAGCTAGTGACAGTTCCATCTTTCAAGTACCGAACTGAGGACTGGATGAGACCAAATACCTGTAGGAGCTCACAGGAAACCAAGGAAAGAATACAGTATTTCACATTTTTTTGGCCACATTATTATGATTGCAGGAACAATTAAGGGGAAATCCCACCTCCCTTTCTCATTTTTGAAAAACAAAGGGCTTCTTTAGGGGGCACTAATTATGTCAAAAACCTGAAGACAAAGAGCAAACTGATTGATACAGCTGTATGCAAGTATTGATGCAGAAATGAAGTTCCTACATCTCTCGGTTAAGGCAGGCAGGCACATTGCAAAAAAAGCAGAAGGGACAAGAAAGATCTTTCAAACCACTCCAGGTTTTGCTATGACCTGGTATTTGCCCAAGCACAGGACGTCAAGGAGGAGCCGGCAGCTTTAAAGGAGTAGCAGAGTTGCACAGCTGTGTTAAGAGAAGTTCCAGGAAATCTGCCCAATGGATTATATCCACTTAAACTGCCAGCTGCCGAGGACCAAGAACGTACCAGCTAGCCCCCAGAGGTATTAGGTGTCGGCCCGGGGACAGATAAATTTTGACACAGGAGATCCCTCAATGCGACGACAGACAGTAAAGGAGCCCACACCGACAGCTGGTTGCAAAGGGGCTGCATGAATAAATCTCCATTTACCTGAGCTCATGCTTGGGCAATGCCGCGAAGGCTTTTGCTCAAAACCTGCTTTTCTGCTCCCCGAGCTTCACTCAGAGCCATCTGCCAGCCACGCAGAAGGCTGGTTCTAGCAGAAAGCACGCTGGTAATCCCGAACAAAGCAGGTCACCAGAAATTACCTCAGCGAACCACCTGCTGAGTTCCTAACAAAATAAACCCTTCCACAGGCCACCCTGCCACCGCAAGGGCAGGCAGGCAAACCCCTCTCCTTGAGAGGGAAGCGACTGACAGACAGCTGGCAAGCACATACACCTGCGGTCAGGGGCTTCCCGTTTCAAGAAAGTTTCTGGACGGGTAAACTGGGCAGGAATACTGAAGTTATGGCTGTTTAAAGATGCAAAGAGCATACAAAATTTTACTGCCTGAAGTATGTGTTAGCTAAAGCAGAACTTTTACTAAATTTATGCTAGCAAAGTCCCCTTTAAACACGCCCCAACATAGGGATGAATTAACACGGCATACGGTGCAGAAAATAAAAGAGTTGTTCTACAGCAATTCATTCAAACTCTACCCAGGGACCAAAGAACCCAGTCCCAGCACTGCACACCAAGTCGATGCAGTCCAACCTTCTGCCGAATGACAACTTATCAACAGAAAGCAGTGTTTACAGAAAGAAATTTAACTTCCTACTGTGCACAGCCATTTATCCGCATTCCAAGAGCCTCTGATTCAGTATCACTCTTTGCCTCGTTATGCTGTTCTATTTCAGAGCTGAACCTTGCCTCTTATTTACATTATTACATGCTCTCACAGTACTCAACATGGGGGGGGAAATTATGTATTTAATTTCTAAGGTCAGCCTATAGTAGCTAAAAATTTATTATGCACATCTGAATTCAGTTGTGTGTTAAAAAACAGAACTTGAAAAACATCCAGAACATAATGCTCTGCACAGCTTAGGAAATCCTGAATCCACCAACTAGCTGCAGGTTTCATTAATAAGACAGAAGTAGTGGAAAAAAGGAATCCCAACTGCACTGAATTCCCAGGATTTCAGACAATTAGTCCATTACTAAGTAAAGTCTGGCTTTCTGTGCAAGGGCAGAGAGAGGTTTAATATTCAGGACTGACTTTCACGTGGGAATGCTGCAGCGGAACAGCAGGGCAGGGACGCAGGCTGAGGGCTGGCGCCGCACGGGCGTCAGGTGCCTGAACAGAAACACCAAACACTTCTGAGTAAAATCGAAAGTACAGCTCCCAGCACAGAGTCTGTACATCTCACACCGCCAGGCGGGTTTCGGGAACTCTTTCGCACAAGGAAGTCTTTCAGATCAAAGCACGCATGCTACCCTTCCCACGTGAGAATATCTTGCAGACTCGCGGCTACCAGACCTATGCAGTAACCTGCTTCAGGTGATCCAAGCAGCAGTTTCAGCTGCCATTCTCAAACTCTGCCACTTCACAGTACTTACACAGAGAAACACTCAAAATCAAATCTAACATTTACCAGGTATGTACTTTAGGTCACAAACGGACATAGTAAAGCATTAAATAAAAGGTACATAATTATTTAATTATATCATTGTGAGGCCTGAAGAAAGTCACAACACAAGGCAAACAGTGAAGGAGTCACGTAAAAGTCAAAAATCCCAAGTATAATTCTTCCTGCTCTTACAAATCTCTCTACGGCTGCAGGGAAGAAATCCCACTTCCAGTAACTGAAGCCCAGCAGTCTATGAAGTATCACAGATTGTACGAGTCCTTTGTAACACAACTAGAAATAATCAAATTCAATATAGGTTTCAAATAGTTTTATAAGAAATTATTCCATTACTGCCAAGAAACAAGCCAAAAGTATCATCAAAACAGCTGTCGAAAGTAAAAATTCCTGCATGCTACTTTCCTACCTACGACCCTGACCCTTACTATAAGCGTTATCAGCTGTCACTTTACAACCCCAAGATAAGAACAGAGGAGTAGATTTCATGCACGTCAGGATGAGAATTAGTGACATTTTTAAAGAAATATTCTAAGAGCCTAGAGATTTTTTTTTTATTTTATAAAATGGTTTTAGAAAAAACCCTCTGCCATTAAGATATTCTGCAATATAAAGCAGATTTATTTTTTTTTTTACGTTAGAAGTTATATTAAATCCTATAAATTCACAAGGATTTCTTCAGAAAGGGCATGAGGAACACAAACCAGAAATGTAAATAACCTGGTTTTCAACTAGGAATTTTGAAGGAGTTCTTTATCAGTGAGGTAACCTATATAAATAGATTTGTACTCTGCGCTCGCACTAGTCATGTCTGATACTGTACCCAAACCATTTTCTTCTAAATTAAGTAATGATGCATCATCTTAACTTTTGCTCAAATGAACAAGGTACTCCATTACTGAAACTTAATTTAGCAGTGTTGCCCAAGATAGATAATGCCAACATCCAAGTGTGAAGCGTTCTATGTTCCTTACGCATCATTCCATGTATCCTCACTCCAAACGGAGGTGATGATGCAGAGCTAGCGAGAGGCCACCAAACACGTCATCGATAAACACGCTGGCATCAAAACCGCGTAGCGATGAATTGTTTTATCAGCAAGTGAGCTCACACGTCACGTCTGTGTGCGCTTTACACCACGTACAAAACCATGGCGGGAAGGGAAGCAGAATCACCGTGACTTCATCTCGCCAGACTGCGATTCGGGCTGTCCAGATAGCCGTGTCAGTCACTCGGCCCGCGCTGCGAGCTGGCGCTCTGGAGCCCACGTATGCCCGGCTTGGGCGGGCGGGAGGATACACCCTACTACAGGCTATTAATGTCCTGCCGGCTGCCCGGGCCCTCGGAGCAGACCTGTCTCTGCCACTCACTTGGCAGAAGCCAGGCTCCCCACGCTAGCACCTGGAAAACGAGGGGTCTAGTCTCGCTAGGACTCTCGCCTAGGTTTGGGATCGGAGCGCCAGCAAATCCCACGCAGGGACGTACTGTGCGAAGTATGAACAAAAGGACAAGGAACTATGAACGGATCATTTCCACCAAAATCGCTGTG